TTGGTAAGAGCAGATGTGTAATTCTAATATACATACAAATGTCTTTTTGCTTAGGAATTATATAGGAACAAGGCTTGTGACATCGGTAATAGTAAGCTGAGTTCAACAGTCATCACACTATGGTAGAGATCATATATTTTAGTTTAACCCATAAAGTTGATGGTATTGTATCAGAAAAAATTAGACTTTGCAGTAAAAGCAACCGGTCCCTGATAATGAGGGATTTCAATGAATCTGTAGAAAAATAAACAGACTTTTCTACGTAAAATCCGACAATATATTCTACACTGTGCTCCTTTTAATCATGATGAAGTACAGCTTGTATTCGAATCCAAAAGTTTTGGTTTAAACCAGAGACGTTTATTGGGCATGTAATAATAATAATAATAATAATAATAATAATAATAATAATAATAATAATAATTATTATTATTATTATTATTATTATTATTATTATTATTATTATTATCATTATTATTATTGAGGATAGTGGTGTCTGAGCTGAACAGTTTAGTTATGGAACTTACGCTGTTCTTCTGAACAACACCATTACCACTTACTTCAAAGATAAGTGAGCTATAAAATTTTCACCACAAGTGACTAATAGCATGTTCTGTTTATCTGGGATTCTGTTTGTCGTTGTTCACAACTGTTTATTCATTGTCTTTATTGAACATAAATCTACAGATATATCAAAATTGACCAAATTTATCAGCCAATAAGGAGAGAGATCAACAACCGCAAGTCCGAAGTTCAGGTCAGGAGAAAAAGTAGCTAAAATTAACATACGATGGCGACAACACTGTTATGGACAACAAACGACATAATCTCAAGTAAATAAAACAAGCTGTTAGTCACTTATGAAGAAATTCTTATAGCTCACTTGTCCTTGAAGTAAGTGCTAATGATGTTTTTCGGAAGATGAACGAAAGCTTCACAATCAACCAAATAGCTTGCCAACCACAGTACCTCCAACACCCTCATCCTGGATTAATAATATTCTCCATCACCTTAATATTAAAGATATTTCTTGTCTCAATATTCGATCGCCACTTTCAATAATGACTACAAAGTTTTGTGATTCAAATGCATATATAAAATATGATTATTTATGGGACTAACACAAGCTACACGTCCTAGATTGCACTGCTTGTGACTTAAGACAATATTGAAGCAGTCCGCATAGGATGCACATGTGCACACAAGAGACGGATCAATTGTAGTCCTAAACAACAAAATGGGAAGTGTTGTGACTTTAAGGCTAACTTGTTATCACGTGATTTATTCGCCAGTTGAAATACGACTTATAAAATCTTAGCACTGTGCCAAATCAATGAAGTTCGACCGTTATGAGCAGTCTAGCGTCCTTCCTGGTTCTTTGTTCGCCTAGCCCGTCCACCAGAGTCCAGAACATCAATAACAGCTTCCACTATGCGAATCATTTCTTTCAAATATACTTGGTTTATATACCAGTAAAACCGACCACATCACACCATAAAATAAGAAATAACGTTTATACAAGATCAAGCCAAAAAGTGACTGTGAATGTGAGAGACTGTATCAATAAACTGAAAATAACTTAAGAATAATAAGTCATATAACAGTAGTTAATGGGTCAAAATGAAGCTTATAATAAGAGGAATATAGATATACACAGTTCAATTACTGAATGGTTATACCATTAATAGTTGTCGGAAGTTACTAGTAATTTAATCTTTACTAGGATATAACAGAAAGATACAAGCAAAAACAATACTAAGTGAATTTAAACTTCACCCGATTGCATAAGCAATTGGATATCAAGATTCAGTAGCTAAGTGAATAATGCAATGGTGTTTGAAGTGAACGATATTGTAATATAATCCCAGAATGAACATCAACTCTAGGATGTAGGTACAACTAGCTGATGAGTTCCAAACAGGACAAAACGCTCATCCTAGTTTCCATTGCAAGCTAACATCCATCCTTGCTTATACAATGGTAATCATTAAAATATTGATTTTCTTTTGAATCATATGATATTGAATTTAACCAATGAATATGAATTCTGTATTCAACGATTAACCCTAGAACATATTGAACAGTACACATGATAATTTACAATGTATCATATATGGAATTAATGGAATATTAAACAACAAACAAAAAAACATGTACTGATAAACAAATGTAATAACATTTCTTATCGATCCAATGTTAAAGTTACCAAATGTGACTTTTCATAATTCATGTCTGTTTTTTTGTATTGAGTATATAAGTGGTGACATGATTGACAACATCATATACACATAAATATTATCCAGAAGAAAATGGTATGTAAATCATTGTTGATTATTCAATTCATTATGAACTATTTGAATATTTCAATAGTTGAGATCATGATTCAATTGAAGCTAGATCACTATGGAAAAACCGGAAACACTGAACGGTCATTTTATTCTAATGTTGGACTCTTTAGCAGTGAGCATTCACGATACTGTCTCGCGAGATTCGAACTCAGGACCTGTCGATTTTGAATGCAAGCACTTAAATTTTAGACCACTGAGCCGGCATCCGATGGTGTTAATGTCTAACTTCAACTAATCCACGTAACTAAGCGATACACACATGATCTCAATTATTGAAATTACTGTAATATCCACAAAAAACCCTTCTGATATTGAATAATGTTTGTTCAAGTTTGATATTATTCATTTTCATTATTGATGTTAAGAGAGACTCACGACCAATCCACTCAGCTTTGAAAACGAAAATCCGCCGAACTATCTACTGAACATGGAAATGATGTCCATATATATATATATATATATATATATATATATATATATATATATATATATATATATATATATATATATATATATATATATATCACGAAACAGATTAGACTGTTATCCGTATGAGATTATAGTGTGTTACTAAGATTGTATTGGCCGATGCCATGTCCAACACACATAGGTTATTCTAGCTTCTAGAGATAGCGGTTCATTAATTCTTCTCAAGATGCGATTTGACATTGTCAATCATTCGCTTATTAACCCTGAATGTTTTTATATGATCGTATATGTGTTAATTACTTACCCTATTCATTATGTGTCTGTAACCTATTTCATTTTACTTTAAATATTGAGTTACATTCGATAAGAGAAGTTTAACAATGTGAGATGTGAGGTTGTTATCCACTGAAACCAATTCAAAACTGTCACATAATATCATGGATCGATTTAGATTAGGTTTATACGCCATTGAATGTTGACTCGTTGATCAGGACATTAAGCATTTGTTTGTAAGATCAAGTGTTTTGAGTTCGATGTTCGAATGTGGGAGAAGCCTCATACTAACCCGAAACGGCCTTCCAGTTCCTCTAGGATTCGAAAACCCGCTTAACCTAGATCGATTGGTAATCTCAATAAATTTCGACGGTATTTGAGAAACAATGTGGGAGGACTTATTCAAGCCAACTTAATACCCGTATTTTTAAAGAAATGAGAGTAAGTTATTCATAAAGATAATAATCCATTCTCCCCACCTTCATCAAACTGTAGACTGATATCCTGTGATATAATAAATATTAGGGTATGATGAAAAACGATTCAAACTATGGAAATTCTACTATGTTTCTAAAACCCTATACGAATGGAGGTATAGGTCTTAACAGTTCTCACCTACTTAGCAACCTATTTTTACATAATGTTAGGGAATCATACATTGTCAACATTAGTGCCAGTTTATTGGAACTTAGTTTCTACCGTTGTGCAAATAAATCTCAAAAGAATCATCATCATCTAGTAAACGATGATTGTTTATGAGTCGTTGAAAATCAGAATCCTTGAGATCTAAGATTTGTGACAGGGATGGTGATTGAAAATATCTTGAGTACTCAAAATTTCAAACAAACGTTTACCAACGTAGATAACAGATGACAAAAATTACTCGAAAACCGTCATACTTGTCAACTATACTAAGCCTACTCTATTGAGTTAAGTCTTACTAGAATCGTCAGTAGGCAAGTGTCAGAGAAGTCTGATCGATTCGATAGCCAGTAAACAGTGAATACTGCATTCACGTTGCCATCGATATTCACAGTCGAGTACAATTGATATTCGTATACAAATTACATCGTCATAATTTATTTGAATGCTTTGTTTATCTCAGTATTTCACCTAGTCATTTGATCTTTTCGTGATCTAGAGCACTTTGACATTCATGGAACTTATCACAGAGAATCGGTTACTCCTGCTTACTGCACTCATCGTTACTTGGATAAGTTTCAAACTTTCACAGTTATTGTTGATCTATTTGAAATACACTGTTGGAGTATGGTGCTTTTCTAAACGGAAAACACTTCGTCAGGCTGGTGAATGGGCAGTTGTCACTGGTGCATCGTCAGGTATTGGTCAAGCGTATGCAGAAGAACTGGCCAAAGAGGGTCTCAATGTCATGCTTATAAGTAATGATGAGAAACAACTGTCGTCCGTTGCTGATCAAATCACAAATACCTACAATGTTCAAACACGAATTGTGGTTGCAGATTTTACTAAAGTAATATCCATTCTCAATTAATCTATTAATTATATTATTTTGAAATTATTGTCATTGACTTAAGTGATCAGTTCGATTTGTCACTCGGTAGTGTTTGAATAGATTGACAGGAGTTGTGCATCACTAATTGCTTTGTTCATGAAGTGATAGATTGTTAGTCGAGTTATTACTGACACTTGAGTCATGTGATCATGTGAAAATGATCATCAATGATAACATGCATTTGAATGTAGAAATGCGATTGAAGACATTCTTTTCACGAAAAGTATTTCTATAATTCACATGCATGAGATATATCAGTTTCATATAATAAACCTTTCATTATTATTTCATAACTGTTTAGTAAATCTCACAAACATCACAAATTCGAGACGAGTAAATGAATGTGTGTATATATATGTGTGTGTGCATTTACATTGTCACACGTTCTATGCAGCACTGCATTAATAATGAAATCACGAGGGATTGTGATAAAGAGACAGTTGACGTGTCTGCAGTGATGATACAATAATAAAAATAATGCAATAAATACGACATACATTATCAAACACGGAGATAGACATTGGACATTTTGCTGTCAATCTTGTCACCAGAGTTGTTACAACGATTCTTCAATTTAATACCAAGGCATCCATACACGATGCACCCAAATTGACAAAAGCTGATTGGATTTCGGTCGTGAATATTGGAGACGGAAAAACGCAGATATCTATCATCAATATATGATATAATAGTTGAACAAATAGCAGGATAGTCGATCTCACCCCCCTCAGTGTATATCGTGTTAGCTATTGAGAAACAAGCTAGTGAACTTGTCTCAGATTCATCTACAGTTCACCATCCAAACGCATCAGAATATGTTGATATGTTTGAAATTTGATCAAATATTCAAACACTAAAACACTTCAGGGACATTCGAATAATCAACTTCCACCAATCTTGTGTTCTCTTTTATTTAGAATGATGTTTATGAAATAATAAGACCTGCTGTTGACCAATTGTCCACAATTGCTTGTTTAGTTAACAATGTTGGTATGGTGTTACCGTTTGAGTTGTTTGCCGGAGAAGTTCATTCCCCAAATGAAGAATCAATTAAAAATATCATTCATTGTAATATTTTGTCTACAGTGATCATGACAAGCATCATTTTGCCGAAAATGTTAACACAGAAAGGACCTAATCCTGGTATCATAAACATTGCATCCTATACAGCTTTGAAAGTGGCGCCCTACTTGACAATTTATCCTTCAACCAAAGCATTCATTATTCAATTTTCCAGATGTCTGGCTGCAGAAAAGTATAGAAAGAATGTCATTGTACAAACGCTGTATCCATTGTTTGTATCTACAAATTTGACCGGTTTAAGAAAAGCCACATATTTCACACCATCTGCTAAAGTCTATGCTAAAAGTGCATTGGATATGTTTGGTGTTGAACAACAAACCACTGGTTATTTTCCACATGAGTTGAAAGCATTTGTATACAATTTAATGCCAACATCATTGTGGGTAAGAATAATCGAACGTACGTTCACTCCAATTAGTAAAAAATCCAAGAAGGTTGACTAACATGAATGTTGTTTTTCAAATTTGCTGAGAAACAGTAAAACCTAAAAATGAACATTTTGAAGCTTTTGATTATATCGCAGTTTTGTGAATTCGTTTACAATTATCTGAGAAATCAGTTGTAAAGATTGAGAATCTGCATTTTGGTAGACTAGTTTTCTTATAAATAAATAATATGTTTGTAATATCCCAATGTGTAGAAAATTATAGCTTCTGACGTTTCGTGACTTAGTAACCAAATTTGGTTATTTATTCTCTGGAGAAGTGACTTACACTAAGTCATGAAACGTCAGAAAATCTGATTTTCTACTCATTGGGATATTACAAATATATTATTTATTTACAACAATCTACCCAATGCTCAATTTATTCGAAATTATCAAATCAAACCTTGGTAGCGATACATAGTTTTCTTATGTTCAATTACCTTTCATGCCATAGTTATATTGGTCACTAATTCTTCTGAAAATTTCGTATCGAGTCATCTCATAGTGAATATTTCGACAACTACCATTTCAACGTCATTAGCCACGGTTTTACTAATTCAATCCTGTTTCCACATGACTTACCCCAAAGATACCCTAAAACTAGTGAAAATACCAGCATTTTTCTCGTATATCATCGTTCATTAATCAAGAAGTAATTTTTCGTTTACTTCATTTAGTATTCTCGACAAGTTGTTACTCAGGCAGATACTTGTTGAGAATGGAAATAGTAGATGGTCCGACTGAATATTAATAACACTGAGTTACTAGGTTAAATTTTCGATTCATTATTGCTTTGATAATTTGACTCGAGAGTAACTGTTTCCTCACACAGTCACATCCACGCTGCAAGTTTTTGGGCCATTAAAACACGAAATCCAATTCTAGAAACGTCATATCTTCTTCTCAAGATAGAGCTTGGCCAACCTTAACACGACAGGAACACCGTACTTACCCACGTAAATGCAAAATATTTTCAGAAGGAGTGATGCTCGAATTTCATGATTACTCACAGATATCCGCATCACATAAGAACTAGTTTCAGTTTGGAAAAGAGAAGAGGCTCAATGACCTGTGTCAGTCCTGGCGATGGTGGTCTCTCAGTTTATCCAACTTTCTTTTGAAATAGTAGACGGATGGAGCCTCAACCACGTGCTGAGGTACTGAGTTCCGCTCGTTAATGATTCAACGGGAAAGTTGATAGTCAGCTGACAAATAATTTGTTCTGGGCTTGTGGACGTTTATGGAGTGTTCTCGTAAATTCTCTGTTTTGGGCGACAAGAAAAATGAGTGTATATCTGGTGCGAATTTGGCACCAAGCAATTTGAAAACTGTAATCAAGTCGCCTCTAGTTCTGCGATATAGCAACGAGAAAACGTTCAGCTTGGCCAGTCGAGCTTCATACGGAAGCTTTGCTATTCCGGGAATCAGCTTAGTTGCCGTTCTCTGAACCTTTTCCAGAAGCTCACGGTCTTTTTTTAAGCAGGGGCTGGCCGCTCATATGCAGCACTCAAGTTTAGGACGTACAAACATTGTATACAAAGTCAGAAACCTTTAAGAGTCGACATAACTAAAAGCCCATAAAGTCCTAAAACTTTTGGTGGCTACTGCACGGCAGTGTACAGTAGTCTTTAAGTCTTGGCTAACGATGACTCCTAAGTCATTGTGTGTCTGGACAACAGGTATCTCAGCGTTATTCATCGTGTATGTATCTGTAACTTGATGAACGATATACATCACAATATATATTTTGTTGTATTTATCGACAACTGACAGGTTTGAGACCATTCAGATAATTTCTTCATGTCACTTTGGAGTTCTAAGCTACCACCTTTACTTCGTGTCACTCTACATATCTCGTGGAAACTTTCAAAGCTCGCAAATCAGACTGCAACACAAGTATTTGTATTAAATTGAGGTTGTATCTTCAAACTAATTAAGTTTGGAATGATGAATAACTGTCTAATTTAGTTAAGATACGTGCTACTGACCAGTTCAAACGGAAACAAAGTATTTGAGGAAATGACGGTTTCAGATGTCACTATAAATATAGATGTACATACTGAGTCGTTCGCAAGAATGGTTGAATTTTATTATAATGGTTAAGATCTCTTCAGGAACGATAGCCGCTCGCACACTTTCTACAAATTCGATTTTCCGCATGACCTTCGCACTCTGATTGGTTGTCATGGTTTGTAGTTCACTAAATTGTTACGTGCTCGAAGGTCACATTCTGCCACCTTAGTAACGACTTTTGTACAAATTTCGTTTGAGTTACTTGTTCTACCACAAATATCGAGTTACCCACAATTCTGTCCTCTTTTTGTTTTGGTAGTCGAAGTTTGATGTGTTGGTTATAATTGGCTGTTGTCAGTTCCGAAGAGAACCGATCATACTATAGAAAATCACAGATTTTCGTTCCTAAATCGGTAACATCATAGGCCTTACTGAAACCGATAACGAGACACAACAGTGACTGAAGCTGTATCTGTCAACTCTTTTAAAAAGAAGTTGGATCGACTGAGAGATCACCATTGTCAGGAATAACACAGGAATGCATTGTGATGAGCGTAAGAAGTCGTTCCGTAAGATTTTTACTCGCCTAAGTCCTACTGCCTATGAAATGTCTTCAAAGCATAACTCTCACTGGCTCTGTGCGTTTTGTTTTTTGAGAAAAACATTACTCTTCCAAGAGACAATCGGCTTTCTGGAGTTGGTTAACAAAAAGTTTGATGAGGGCTGCAATGGTAACTTGGGTACTAATAGCGATGAATGCGTCAGTGTCATAGGTGCTGTCACGGCACGTGTCAGAGACCCGACTGTGAAACACGCAATAGAGCTTTCTATCCCGAAACAAATAATGAACGATACACCATTAGATACTTTTAGTCAAATTGCTACAATAGCGACTGACGACCCAGACAAAACTTTTATCGTCCCGATTAGTTCTAATACGGATGCGGCAACTAATGCGAAGCGGATGACGCAGAAAAATAGAAGAGGATGATAGTCAAAAATAACGCCCTTGATGGACTCGCATTCTGCGACGCAGACTAACCGCTAAAGTTCCAAAGTAAGAGAAAAGTTACCCTATCGTAGACGGGAAAAGTTTGGCTCCACCAAAGACTGTCGTGAGTAATTCGTTTGAATTCCACGACTCTGTTACGAGATAAACTGTAAGATTCCGGCGTTTAACAGGCAGCGTCAGACATCTTGGACGAAAGCCGTGAACACGACTTCCAAAGAAGTTGAACCCGTTACTAGTTTAATTATTTGGAATCTTGAGGAGTCAGAATACAATAATTCTGCTAAAAGACATGCACATGACCTGGAGTCAGTAGAATATATCATCAGAAATTTACTGCCTGGAGATATTTCAAGGGTACATATCATGAAAGTAATTAGACTCGGTAAATGGGTTGGAGGAAAGACCCAACGACGAATGATCTTGAAGTTGGTGCTCGAGAATTTTGAAGAACGAGACGTAATATTGAATAACGCACAAAAAATTGTGGTTTAAACATCCGTAACGCTCACAGAGTTAAGAGTTCGAAAGCTGAATGACAAAAGAACCCTACGATTAAGGATTTCTGGGTAGTCAGGTCTTGGAAGCTAATGAATCCGAGGTCTGTATAGTTAGGCAGAATGATTCCAAAAACACCTCAAATGTGTGCTACACGAATTACCGTAGTCTTCAAAATAAAACATTTGAGCTAAGTTTGAGGGTGGATGAATTAAGTCCTGATATAATTGCTGTCACATAAACTTGGCTTACCGTAGATATAGACTGTTATCCCATCACTGCCGGCTACATCTGTATTAGAAGTGTTAGAGTTTAAGTCGCAAGGGAAGAGGCATGATGTTAAATGCTATAGATCACTTTCGTATACAATCAATCAGATTGAAGGCGCATGTTAGTGATACATGTGAGGCAGGATGTTGTACAATTAATTCTAGGAACGAGTTAGTGACTATAGGACGAATATATCGTACTTCATGTTGTCTTCCTTACGACTTTATTATAAGACACATTTACTCTTGGAGTAAGGCGGAATGTTGTTTCATCATTAAAGGCTTCAATGCACCACATATCAACTGGACAGAGCCTACAACTTCAAGTGAGGGGGGTTTCGATAGCGACCTACGATCAATCATTATTCAGTATTCACTTGTAAAGATTATGGCAAAACTGACACATATTGACATGGAACATGATCCCTCATTGCTGGACCTTGTCCTCACACGCATTTGTGAAGATGTCATCGACATTCAGCACCATCCTCCAGTAGTGAAAAGTGATCATGTTGTATTTGACTTTAGGTTTCGGACACACGGTATACAATTTTTAACTGCTCCACCCCGTCCCAATATCTGGCAAAATAATATTCCAGAAATCAGAGACTGTGCTATCTCGGCTGACTTGTCGGTCGATATGGGTGGATTAATCGAAGGCAAATGGAATAAGTTCAAGGCTACATTTTGGACCGCAACATCACCGATAATCCAATGGTCAATACGTAAGCCATCTCATCGCCCTCCATGGATTAATAAGGGAGCCAGGAAGCTGTTGAAGCACAAGGAACACTACTGTGACTTATTCTTGTCAAAAGACACGAATCATTTATGTGTGAATGTCGAAAAATTCGAAATATATGCAGAAAGATCATAGCTAAGTGTCGTACTATTTACGAAAGACAGGAGGCACATGATGGCCGTACTTGTCTGAAACAACCGTTTTCGCACGTTGAACAGCAAGCAAAACGTAGTGATGGTATCTCTCCATTAATATTTCATGAAAAATCAGATTTACTAACCGAATCAGATCCGGCAAAATTTGAGACTTTTTCAAACAATTTTAGCAAGGTCTACTCTACACTTATCCCACTCCCACCGAGATACCAGCCATAGGATCTATACTTGTGACTGATGAAAGTGTTCTTCCATTGATCACTGTAAGATACCGGGCCCTGACGGGTTAAATCCATGACTGCTGCCATCTCTTGCAGACATTATTTTAAGACCGCTCGTGACGTTCTTCAACATTTCCCTTTCACTCACTCAACTCCATAAAGATTAAAAAGACGCTACAGTCAGTCCTATATGGTCAGAGACCG